CAATATTTTGCCCATAAAATCCTTCAATACTGAAAATCAAGCCTTAAATTTTTTCTTCAGTTCTTTCAGCTTGAGAAGTGCTGAACATGTTGTTCCCTTTTGGTTTTCCAATTCCAGGTCTTTGCCCATTTCATTATAATATATGACTTTGTTTTCTCAAGCTGCTCTTTGAAATTTTTGTTCAGCTCTTTTATCTCATTTCTTCCACTTGCTTTAGCATATCTATGCTGGAGAGCAAGTTTCTATGGATAAAATTGCCAGATGAAGTATTAATAGTACTCATGAAGAATCTGTATATAGACCAAGAGCCAGTCACACAAACAGAACAAGGGGACACTGAATAGTTTAAGATCAAGAAAGGTGGACACCAGGGTTGCATTCTTTCATCATACTTACTTAATTTGTACACTGAACAAATAACCCGAGAAACTGAACTATATAAAGAACATGGCACCAGGACTGAAGAAAGACTCATTAACAACCTGTACGCAGATGATAGAACCTTGCTTCCTGAAAGTGAAGAGGACTTAAAATACTTTCTGATGAAGATCAAAGACCACAGCCTTCAGTATGGATTGTACTTCAACATAAAGAATATAAATATCCTCACCACTGGACTAATAAGTAACATCATGATAAACTGAGAAAAGAGTGAAGTTGTCAAACACTTCATTTTGCTTGGATCCACCATCATACTCCTTGAAGAAGCAGTCAAGAAATTAAACAACATACTGCATCAGGCAAATCTACTGCACAAGACCTCCTCAAAGTGTTCAAGAGCAAAAATGTCAGCTTCAAAACTAAGGTATGTGTAACCTAAGCCATGGTCTTTTCAATAGCTTCATATACATGTGAAAGTTGGACAATAAAAATAAGGAAAACCACAGAAGAATTGATATTTTTGACTTATGGTGTTGGAGAAGAATATTAAAAGTACCATTAACTGCCAGAAGAACAAACAAATCCATGTTCGAAGAAGTAGAACCAGAATGCTCCTTAGAAACCAGGATGGTGAAACTTCATCTCTCATATTTCAGATATATTATTAGAAGGGACCAGTCCCTAGAGAAGGACATCATGGTTGATAAAGTGGAGGTTCAGTGCAAAAGAGGAAGATACTCAAGGAGATGGATGGAATGACAGTGGCTGCAACAATGGACTCAAATGCAGCATTGATTCTGAGAATGCCGTAGGACCTCGTAGTGCTTCCTTCTGTTGTGTGTAGAGTCATTATGAGTCAGGGCCAGTTTGATGGCATGTTAACAACAATAATAGAAATATACCAGCTCTATTACTCCCAAAGAAAACTGATGTTTAGCAAGATAAATAACTTGCTTAAGAATCCACAATAAAATTCTCAGAGAAGTCATTTTAAAGATGTTCTGTACCTGTCATCTGATAAGGCAGATACACAGCCTTATTTTTTTATTTTTTAAGATCATTTTTTTGCTTTGTTTTGTGACGGGCATATTTGAAGATGATAAAGTGAAAAAAATTACTACATAATAAGATTAAGATCATCTAAATAAATAATTGGGACAATGAGAATCATTAGTAATATAAACCTAGAGTTGAACCAATTTTAACAACCTCTTTTGAGAAAATTATTTTCTTCCCTGAGATAATTTCCTATCTATTTAATGTGAATGCATACTTCCAAACATTTTGATCCAATAAGAGATAATAAACAATGTACTCTGCTAAAAGAAATCTAATCACCATTATAAGCATATGTGAGAATCGATTTAATAGATGCATGATTATCATGACACTTACACTTGAAGTGAAATGCACTTTTGTTTAAAAAATAAATTTGAGTTTATGAGCAATTAGCATACACTTCACAAAAACTATTTTATATTCAGTATGTATTACTACAATAAAAACAGAAGTAAATACTTCAATTAAAACTGCCAAATTACTTTGAGTATCACTAAGAAAATACAAATAAAACTGTCATATATTCATTTCTGTTTACTTTAAGCAGGAATAGCAGCGTTGCTTATCAGGTGACATGGAGTTTTAAGGAGCAGTCTGGCTGTAATGCTTCTGAGACAGATTTGTTTGCTCTTCTAGAAGTCCATGGAACTCGCAATATTCTTCACCAACACCATTCAAATGAATCCGTTCTTCCACACTTTTCCTTCTTCATTGTCCAATTTTGACATGCATATAAGGTAATGGAAAACATTAAAGCTTAGGTCCAGTGCACATTAGTGCTCAAAGTGACACAGTTGCTCTTTAACACGATAAAGAGGTCGTTTGCAGCACATTTGCCTACAGCAGTATGACCTCTGATTCTTGACTGAATTTTGCTTACTTTGTTTCACTGAATCATCCCAATCCTTGTGGACCAGCATTTCACATGAGAAGCCAAAGACTTAGAGGAACAATAACTAGCCCAAGGTCACAGATCGTGTAAATACAAGAGCCAGAAATTGAATTAGGGTCTGTGTGACTTCAGATATCCAGCTGCCTAAGCGGAGGTTACAAATAATTAAGATTTAAGTAAAGACAAAATTAAGAAAAAACACATTAACATATAATTATGAATTATTTTAGAAGAACAATAACTGCAGGTCTTGAATACATGTTTCTATGAGGTGTCTTCAAAAAGTTCACAGAAAATGGAATTTTGAAAATGAAAGCCACCTCATACATGTAAAAATATACACACAGAAACTAGTAAAGGAAACAAAGAATGACATGAATAAACAGGAAATTAAGATCATTTAAGAACTGCGATATGATTAAAACTTCTATGTTTTTGTTGTTGTCAGGTGCCATTGAGTTAGAACCGACTCATAGTGACCCCATGCACAGCAGA